GGGGTACTGAGCCTGGGGGTGCTGAGCCTGGAGGTGCCGAGCCTGGAGGTGCTGTGCCTGGGGGTGCTTCGTCTCGCCGGGAGCCGCTCTCTCCACAGGAGCTGCGTGAGTGGTTTGCCCGGCGCTGGAGGCGTGCCGCTGGTGCTGGTGGTTCTTCAGCTGCGGAGGGCGCTGCTGCCACGCGACCTGGCGGTGCTCGTCCTGTGGGTGCTGGAGCTACTGGGTCTGAGGGTTCTCCTGGAGCTGGTCCTGCTGAGGACGTTGGCGCTGAGCCTGCGGTTGGTGGTCCGACTGACGGTGCTCCTGGTGCTGCTGCTGGAGGTTCTGGAGCTTCTAGTGGTTCTGCTGGAGGTGCTGCTGGAGTGGGTGCTCCTGCCGGGGGTGCTGGTGCTGTTCCTGCTGTTTCTGGCGTCGCCGCGCGGCCCCGACCGTACTTCGTTCCGCTCCTGCAGCAGGTTCTTGGTCTTACACCTCCTCCTCCTCCCTTAGAGGGTCCGCAGCCTGTCCGGTCACAGCCACAGCTACAGCCTGCCTCCCCTTTGCCTGCTCCTTCTCCCTACGCTGGTCCGACTGGAGGTCTTACTGAGCGTCGTGAGCCTGCGTCTCGTCCTGCGTCGCCTGTTCGTACTGAGCGCGCTAGTGGTCGCGGGTCGCGTCAGCGTCCTCCTCCTGTCCCTGGCACGCACCGGATGTCACTGCGTCCGTCCACTGCTCCTCTGCGTGCCCCTTTGCCTTCTCCTCCTGCTTCCTCTCTTCCTGCTCTTGCCGACCCGGAGTCGGACTCTCTTCGTGCTGCCAGTCCTACTGTCACGCGTCTCCTTGCTACTGCTGTCACTGACCCTTCCTTCGAGTCGTCTGCTGCGTCTGCCCTTGTCACTGAGCTTGTCGACTTTGCTGCGCGCTGTCGTCTAGACTACGCTGCTCGTCTTGTCGCTGAGTCTGAGTCCGCCTGTCCTCCGTCCGTCGGGGGTGAGTGTGCCCTTGGCACGGACGTCCTAGAGGACAGGCAGGAGGAGTTCCAGTGTCTAGCCGCTGCTTCACCTCGTCTCGCGTCTGTACTGCTAGCCCCTGAGGGAGACCCGGATGCACTAGACATCCCGACTCCGCGTTCTTACGCGGAGGCCGTAGAGGGTCCCTACTCCTCTCAGTGGCAGGCAGCTATGGATGCAGAGATGGCTTCCTGGAAGTCCACAGGCACCTACGTTGACGCGGTTCCCCCTCCTGGGGCGAACATCGTCAGTGGCATGTGGATCTTCAGGGTGAAGCGGCCGCCGGGCTCGCCGCCTGTCTTCAAGGCGCGTTACGTGGCTCGTGGCTTCAGTCAGCGGCAGGGAGTTGACTACTTTCAGACCTTCTCTCCCACCCCGAAGATGACCACTCTTCGGGTACTGCTGCACATTGCCGCTCAGCGCGACTACGAGCTTCACTCTCTCGACTTCAGCACTGCGTTCCTGCAGGGTAGCCTGCACGAGGAGATCTGGCTTCGCCGTCCGCCTGGCTTCACTGGGACTTTCCCTCCTGGCACCTAGTGGAGCCTCCGACGGCCAGTCTACGGTCTCCGCCAGGCACCGCGTGAGTGGCACGACACACTGAGGACTACGCTTGCGGCTCTTGGGTTTGCTCCTTCTACTGCTGACCCGTCGCTGTTTCTTCGCACCGACACTTCCCTGCCGCCGTTCTACATCCTCGTGTACGTCGACGACTTGGTCTTTGCCACAGCGGACACTGCTGGACTCGCCTACGTGAAGTCCGAGCTGCTGAAGAGACACACGTGCACAGACCTGGGTGAACTGCGCAGCTACCTTGGCTTGCATATCACTCGGGACAGAGCACGCCGCACCATTACCCTGACTCAGTCACACATGGTGCAGCAGGTCCTTCAGCGCTTCGGCTTCACGTACTCCTCGCCTCAGGCCACTCCTCTGCCTACTCGCCACTCACTCTCAGCTCTGCCTTCGGATGAGTCCGTAGAGTCGAGTGGTCCGTATGCAGAGCTTGTTGGCTGCCTCATGTACCTGATGACCTGCACACGACCTGACCTTGCATACCCTCTGAGCATCCTTGCACGCTATGTTGCTCCTGGGAGACACCGACCAGAGCACATGGCTGCAGCGAAGAGGGTATTGCGCTACATGTGCAGTACGTCGGGCATGGGGCTAGTGCTTGGAGGGCGGAGTCCAGTGGTCCTTACTGGGCACGCAGACGCTTCTTGGGCTGACGACCAGGCTACGCAGCGGTCGTCACAGGGTTACACCTTCAGCCTTGGTTCCGGCTCTGTCTCGTGGCGGTCTACTCGCTCGTCTTCGGTTCTCGGCTCCAGTTGTGAGGCTGAGATCTACGCCGGGGCCATGGCTGCACAGGAGCTTCGCTGGCTCACCTACCTGCTGACTGACCTTGGAGAGCTGCCTCGTTCTCCTCCAGTGCTGTACGTAGACAACAAGGCCATGTTGGCCTTGTGTCGAGAGCAGCGCTTGGAGCACAGAACGAAGCACATTGCTCTCCGCTACTTCCTTGCTCGTGAGCTGCAGCAGCGTGGTCAGTTGCGACTTGCTTACGTGGCCTCTGAGGCCAATACTGCTGATGTGTTCACCAAGGCACTTGCGCCTTGCGACCATCAGCGCTTTTGTACCCAGCTGGGTCTTGTACCTGTCTTGCCTCACTTGCTCTCTTCTTGACTTTACTTGTACTTTGACATATATATACCTGCTCTTGCTTGTCTAGTTTTATATATATGTCTGTACTCCTGCATGTGAACTGGCCTCTGGCCTTGCTCTTGTGCTCGGACTGTGTGGTGACTTTGTGATCCACCCTGAGCTTGCTTTGCTTTGCTTGACTGGTCTTGTGACCCCTTGTTCTCCCCCACTTTGCCTATGGGGGTGTGTCAGATTATTATAGCTGATGCATGTTTGTAGGCTATAGTGGGGTAGCACATATGGGGTACAGTTTGCTAGGGTTGTATTTGTACCCAACTCTGACTTAGTCAATCCATTCCTGTTCATTCCTTTCACAGGTTCCTATGGCTAGGGAATAGGATGTACTAGAGAACAGTGTGAAGAAATAGTGGTAAAAAATGCATCCAGAAGTCGGCGCAGTGACATGTTGCGCACAGGCCTATCCTTGCACAGATTCAGGCCAGCAAACGCACAGACAAGCACCACGTGCTGCGTAATTATCCGAACGAGGTCAAACCAGTTCCTATGACTAGGGAATAGGATGTACTAGAGAACAGTGTTAAGAAATAGTGGTTAAAAGGACATTCAGATGTCGGCGCAGTGACATGTTGCGCACAGGCCTATCCTTGCACAGATTCAAGCCAGCAAACGCACAAACAAGCACCACGTGCTGCGAAATTGTCCGAACGAGGTCAAACCAGTTCCTATGGCTATGGAATAGAATTTACTAGAGAAAAGTGTGAAGAAATAGTGGTTAAAAAGGCATCCAGACGTCGGCGCAGTGACATGTTGCGCACACGCCTATCCTTGCACAGATTCAAGCCAGCAAACGCACAAACAAGCACCACGTGCTGCGTAATTGTCCGAACGAGGTCAAACCAGTTCCTATGGCTAGGGAATAGGATTTACTAGAGAAAATTGTGAAAAAATAGTGGTTAAAAAGGCATCCAGATGTCGGCGCAGTGACATGTTCCGCACAGGCCTATCATTGCACAGATTCAAGCCAGCAAACGCACAAACAAGCACCACGTGCTGCGTAATTGTCCGAACGAGGTCAAACCAGTTCCTATGGCTAGGGAATAGGATTTACTAAAGAACATTGTGAAGGCATCCAGACGTCGGCGCAGTGACATGTTGCGCACAAGCCTATCCTTGCACAGATTCAAGCCAGCAAACGCACAAACAAGCACCACGTGCTGCGTGATTGTCCGAACGAGATCAAACCAGTTCCTATGGCTAGGGAATAGGATGTACTAGAGAACAGTGTGAAGAAATAGTGGTAAAAAAGGCATTCAGACGTTGGCGCCGTGACATGTTGCGCACTGGCCTATCCTTGCACAGATTCAGGCCAGCAAACGCACAAACAAGCCCTACGTGCTGCGTAATTGTCCGAACGAGGTCAAACCAGTTTCTATGGCTAGGTAATAGGATGTTGTAGAGAACAGTGAGAAGAAATAGTGGTAAAAAAAGACATCCAGACGTCGGCGCAGTGACATGTTGCGCACATGTCTATCCTTGCACAGATTCAGGTCAACAAACGCACAAACATGCGCAACATGCTGCGTAGTTGTGCGAACGCGGTTAAACCAGTTCCTATGGGTAGGGAAAAGGATGTATTCTGTAACTGTGTGAAGAAATAGAGGTAAAATAAACAACGAGACATTGAATCGACAACATGTTCTGCCCTTGCCAAACATTTCTAACTTTTCCCGCCCAAATACCTTACCTAGTTTATACAATAGCATCGGTTAAGAGGTGGATAGGTTTAATTCTGGAGTTGAATCCAACATTCTGTTGCATAATTACTACCAAATCCAACAGTATGAAATTAGTTCCATTACATGAAATACATAACAGAAACAAAGCTGTGTTTGGATTGTTCGAAATTGGTTACATAGCGGTAACCTTCACTTCCATGACGTGGCCTGCACACCACAAACGGTTCCTCGCCAAAGGACAACCAGTGTGTGGCACACGCTCCAGACATCCCGCAATCTATCGCAATTTCAGCCCAGCCTCAAAACGACCAATGAAAACGCTCGTAACCACGCAACCGGAAACTCTGCGTAAACCACCACCAACCACGATTTGTCCTCCACGTGTACAGTGCGCGTCTGCAAACAGAGATAAACGGGGGCAAGAAGGGGAAAACACGAAGGGGCTTCGACAATCTGCTGCAATTCCTCGTCATACACGATGATAAACTGCAGGGGAAAACGGTGCACCAGATATCACCTCATAAACGATGGAAAACCATCAGCCTCCAACTCGAAAAATGACCCCCTCCCCCCCCCCCCCCTCCATACTCGGCAGTTTCACATTTTTCTGATGGAGGGGTTACTCCCCGACGAGGTCATTCTCGAGATCATCGCGCGGGTCTCGGACGCGCGCGCTCGCAACTGCTGCGCGCTCGTCTCGCGGCGATGGCGCATGAGCGAGCGCCTCACGCGCACCTCCCTCTCCGTCCGCCGCTCCCTCGCGGACCTTCTGATGCTTCCGCGATGCTTCCCCAACGTGCGCCGACTTGATCTGTCCCTCTGCCCCCCCTGTGGGCAGCCGCTGCTCCTCGCGGGGCCCGCGCTGGAGGTAGCTACGACGCTCCGCGCGGCCTTTCCGCGGGTGACCTCCCTCCGCGTGCACGTGCGGGACCGGAACGACGTCCAGTGCGTGGCGGCCACATGGCCGGGGTTGGAGCACGTGGCTTTGATCCGCTGGCACGAGTTTTCCGCCGCGGAAGCAGCAGCGGCCGCAGGAGCAGCAGCAGCAGCAGGGCTAGGAGCAAACACTAACAACAACACCACTGACAACCCTAATTCGAATGCAAACCCGCTGGGAACCCTAGAGCTGACCCCGCTGCTGGTGTTGTGCAGCCGAGTACAGAGCATAGACCTATCCGAGTTCACGTGCTTCCCAGACCATGTTACTGATGCCTTCACTGCTGCTCCCCAAGCCGTCGCTGCCATTGCTGCTGCTGCTGCTGCTGCTGCTGCCGCCACCGCCGCCGCCACTGCCACTGCCGCTGCTGCTTCGGCCAGTGGAGCAGCAGCAGCAGCGGAACCCCCGTACAAGCCCCCCGGCGCGCCTCTCCCCTGCCCCTCCGCGCCCATCTCCGCTCTCCGCCACCTGAACCTCCTCAAGTCCTCCCCCGGCGCCTTTAAAGCCTCAGACGTCCGCTCAATCCTCGCTGCCGCTGGCCGCACCCTCCTCTCCTTCCGCTGCCTCGTCGAATTCGACCCGCGCCTCTCCGATTCCCTCTCAGACGAAACCCTAATTGAGATCGCCGAGCGGTGCCCGGTGCTCACTGCGCTACAGCTGGTGGATTCCTCGCTCTGGGCGGCGCCCTCGGGATTGTCGCTGGCGCTGGGGGATCATGATGACGCGCTGCCGCCCGATATGGACGCACGGGTCACGCCGGGCGGCATTCGGTCGTTTCTAGTGCGGTTGCCGGGGCTGGAGGAGCTGGATTTGCGGCCGGCACAGTATCTGAGAGGGGCAGATGTGAGTCTGTTCGGTGGTGCTGCTGGTGCCTTTGCTGGTGGTACCACTGCCGGTGGTGGAGGAGGTGGAGGGAGGGGTGGGGTGACAGCAACGGTGAGTCTGGGCCGGCTGAGTCCGAACCTGAAGCGCCTGCGGCTGGGTCAGCTGGTTTTCGCCCACAATGACTCGCTGGCGCCAGTGCCTGCATCAGGGGAAGGTACATCCGGGGAAGGTACATCTGCACAGGGATCATTTGGGAAAACACCCTCCTCCTCGTCTGCATCATCCTCATCAGCAGCACAAGGAACCACCACCCCTTTCTCCACATCCACCATCCTCCCTGGGGGCCTTGAAGCTCTCGACTTCTGGCAAGCCCCTTCACTTCCCCTGCGCTGCCTGCTCCCCCTCGCTCTCTCCTGCCCGCGCCTCAAGGAACTCAGCATCTGGGGCTGCCCGGACCTCACCCCGCCGAGCCTGGAGGCCGTGGCTCGGGTGTGCCGGCACTCGCTGGTTCGGGTGACTGTAGTGAAGTGCTGCAACCTGCCCACAGCAGCGGTGCTCAGGGCTCTCTCCCCCGTTAGAAGCACACTGCAGCACCTGCACTGCTCCTGTGACTGGTTCTGCCCGAACAGCAGCGTAGCCCCTGTTTCCCCGGTTCAAAGCGGTCCAGATGGAAATGGTGACGGTGCTGATGGTACTGGTGCCGATGCTACTGGTGGTGCTGCTGGTGAAGGGGCAGGAGAGGGAATGGTGAAGCAGGCGGGGGGGATGCGGCGTATGGAAGGCAGGGCAGGAGCAGACGGCACAGAAGAGCTTCTGTACGGCTCAGAAGCAGCACAAGACCTTTCCACCGCACCGGACTCCTCCGAATGGCCTGCGCTGCAGTCCCTCACTCTCCTCGCTCCCTTGGGTACCCTCCTTTTTCAACTCCCCTCTGTCGGCCTCCTCCACTGCCCCCTCCTCTCCCACGTCCACATCCGAGTGTACGGCGACTGTCGACTCGCAGCCGGCGGCCCTGGGGCAGCGGGCTTCGGCCTTTCCTGTCTGGCCGGCTACCTGGCGCTGCGGTTTTTGCGGCTCGATTTGACGCAAGTGGTGGGGCATTCCCTGAGCTGCCCACCTGGGCTAGCATTTGATGTGATGGCCTGGGAAAGGTTCTACCTGCATGGAATCCAGCTTCTGCCAGGGCTAGAATCGCTGCACTACTGGCCGCCGTCGGACTGCGATCTCAACCGTCGATCCATGTCGATGCCGTCTGCTGGGATCCTCGGGTCGTGCCAGTCGCTGCGCCAGCTGGCGGTGCATTGCACGACGGCCAATGAGCATCTGCTGAATGTGGTGGTGCGCGGGGCTAGAGGCATGCGGGATTTGCACGTGCTGGGGGACTGCTATCCCGCTCCTCCCGATGACACCTATGCAGGTATGCTCAGGCCGATTTCGTTCCAGAGGCTGATCAAAGTGCTGGATGACAGAGGGTACCCTGATTGATTGATTTGCTCGTGCTGAGTCTGCATGTTGCTGGGGGGTTGCTGTCCGGCTCTGCCGAATGACGCATTCGGTATGCTGGCATGCTCCGGCCGGCTTCCTTTCAGAGGCTGATCAAGTACCAGGACGCATGAGGGTGTCCTGATTGGTTCATTCATTGGCTCATTGAATGATTGGGAGGAGCAGGCTTCGATAGGATACTGCAGTTGATGCCCTTGCAAATACCTATTTTTGTCATTACTGTGATTTTTGTTAGCTAATCTTCCCTGTTTACACCACTAAAGAAGTATGACGGGTAGGGTGTGTGCGTTGTTGCTACCCTTACCAGTAGTACATGCGCCGGGACTCGGGACGGGAGGGTGGATGGATGGTGTGTGAGTGGATTGACAGCAGAATCTTTTGGAGTAATGAGCAAGTACCGTACAAGACAGATGGTCAACACAGGCTGACCAAAGGCCTCACATCACACCGAGTCCGGTCTAGTGTATCCATGCATGCCTTCACTCCTGGATTGCTTGCACTGTGGGTCCAAAGCACAGAATACAGGAGAATGGTGTGAGGCACCTAAAAATTCCATCACTCTAGGTACAAACCACAGCATATGGGCGCAAGTGTGAGGGAACGCCAATCTACCACAAGCCCCTCCCCTCGGTGCACCTGAGCCAGTCCCTGTTCTTGCTCAGCATCTGATCGCCCATCTCGACCTGTGGCCAATCGCCCCGCACATGTCAGTGAAAGCCAACCCGGGCTTGTCAGAACGCCTGAGCCAGTCCCACTGCTCATTAAGCATGTGATCGTCCGTCTTTCTTGAGCCGTGTGTCCATGCAAGTAGGCCAGCCAGAGGCAGTGGCAGTGGCAGCGGCGGCGGCGGCGGCAGCGGCAGCAGCAGCAACAGGAGAGCCCTCAGTTGTCGGTGAAGGCAAGGCCAAGCCCGTCGGTGCGTTTGAGCCAGTCCCAGTACTTGTTCAGCATGTGATCTTCCGGTCTCACCTCCCTCCACCTGCCCTCACAGAATATCGCATGCGCGTCCGCTGCATACCTGGCATGGTGAAGAATGGAGGGGGAGGGATGTGAGAGCACAGAGAGACACGGGACTTCGTGAGCATGTGACTGTGCGACCTCACTTCCCTCCATCTGCCCTCACAGGTTATGGAGTGCGTATCTACTGTGTACCTGGTATGGTGAAGAAATGGATGGGGAGGGAGGGATGTGTTGCGAGAGCACAGACAGGCACAGGGCTTATTCAGCATGTGATCGTCCGGCCTCACCTCTCTCCACCTGCCCTCACAGAATATCGCATGGGCGTCCGCTGCGTAACTGCCATGGTGAAGGGGAGAAGAAGGTGGGGCAGAAGGGGAGGGATGTGAGAGCATGTGGTCGTTGGCCTCACCTCCAACCAACTGCCCTCACAGATTATCGCATGCGCGTCCGCTGCATACCTGGTATGGTGAAGACACACAGCAGGCAACAGGCAGCAGCAAGCAGCAGGCAGCAAGCAGCAGGCAGCAAGCAGCAGGCAACAGGCAGCACGCAGCAGGCAGTGGAGAGTGTAAAAGAGCAAGAGAGTGTGAGAGTGATGTGGAGCAAAGGCAGGCACAGGAGAGAGCGGGAAATAATCGACAAAGAGCGGGGAGCACACAAAGGCAGAAACAGCTTCAGACCTCTAACATCTCATGCTCCACATATCATGTCCCCTGCCATATTCACTACTTCACCCGTCCCCTCCCCACACCGAACACCTCCTCCAAACAGCTTCTCTCATTTGAGAATCATTAGATCACGGCATCACCCCCTGAACCCCCTCCCTCCCCCCCCCCTCCCCCTCTCTCTCCGCCCTTCTCCCACCCTCTCACTCCCCCCTCTCCCCAACCCCTCCTAGACACACACACGTACTTGCCAATGCCGTGCAGCTGCCTCACGTCCGTCCAATCGCCCCTCAGGAACTCCTCTGAGAACCGTTGGATCATGGCGGCGCGCTTGTTGTGCAGCCCAAGGGACTGGATGGTGCGCGCGATCTCAGCCGTCGATGCTGCGATGGCTGCCTCTGGAGTGGGGATGAGGCGGAAGAGGTCCCAAATCACTTTATGGAGCTGCAGAGGGGAGAGGGGGGGAGAAGGGAAATGCAGGCAATCTCAGCCGTCGATGCTGCGATGGCTGCCTCTGGAGTGGGGATGAGGCGGAAGAGGTCCCAAATCACTTTATGGAGCTGCAGAGGGGAGAGGGGGGGAGAAGGGAAATGCAGGCAATCTCAGCCGTCGATGCTGCGATGGCTGCCTCTGGAGTGGGGATGAGGCGGAAGAGGTCCCAAATCACTTTATGGAGCTGCAGAGGGGAGAGGGGGGGAGAAGGGAAATGCAGGCAATCTCAGCCGTCGATGCTGCGATGGCTGCCTCTGGAGTGGGGATGAGGCGGAAGAGGTCCCAAATCACTTTATGGAGCTGCAGAGGGGAGAGGGGGGGAGAAGGGAAATGCAGGCAATCTCAGCCGTCGATGCTGCGATGGCTGCCTCTGGAGTGGGGATGAGGCGGAAGAGGTCCCAAATCACTTTATGGAGCTGCAGAGGGGAGAGGGGGGGAGAAGGGAAATGCAGGCAATCTCAGCCGTCGATGCTGCGATGGCTGCCTCTGGTGAGGGGATGAGGCGGAAGAGGTGTAGGGGCCAGGAAAGAAGGGGAAGAGCGTAGGTTGAGGGGTCAAAAGAACTAGTGAAAGGGGATGAGGCAGACGAGGTCTCAGGTGACTTAAAGGAGCTGCAGTGGGGTTGAAGAACGGGGGCAGGAAGGACGAGGTAGGGGAGTGGGCGGAAGGAGGAGAGCAGATGTTGAGGGACCAAGAGAGAATTGTGAGAGGGGATGAGGCGGAATAGGTCCCAGATCACTTATGGAGCTGCGGTGGGAGGGGGGTTGGGGGGGAAAGGACAGGAGGAAAAGACAAGGGGATGGGACGGAATAGGTCTCAGATCACTTGGTGGAGCTGCAATACCGGGGGGGGGGTGGCGTGGGGGGAGGAAAGAGGGTGGGTGAAGGGGACATCAACTGTTAGTGCAAGAGAGACAAGTGTAATCAGAGGCGTGGGTGCAGCGATGGTTGGGGTAGTGCGAGGGCATCAGGTGGAATAGGTCCCAGGTTACTCGGTGAAGCTGCAGTTGGGGTGAGGAAGAGGGGGGAAGGAGGACGAGGTAGGGGGAGAGGGTGGAAGGGAGAGAGCGTAGTTTGAGGGGTCAAGATGACTCGTGCAAGGGGATGAGGCGGAATAGGTCCCAGAGAGAGCAATGAGCAGTGCCATTTGGTCTGTGGTTACAGCTCTGCTGGGTATAGGCTAGCAGATGAGGCCAACTGCGAGAGTGAGCCCAATTCCAGATGGCTCGGTGGGAGTGCAGCAAGAGGAAGGGGGTTCGCAACAGGGCGTGCAACAGAGCACACGGGGCGAGGATCAAAGTACACAGCGCAGCTGGGGAGCAGGAGGAGCAGGGATCAGGAAGCGGATAACTGTATGGAGCTGCTGTGGAGGTTTGGCCGAGGGATGAGGGCGGGGAAGAGGAAGGGGGGTGGGGGAGGTGTAGGGAGAGGGGAGGAAGCGAGAGATGGAAAGGTGAGGGATCAAGAGGGACTGGCGCAATCAAAGGAATGGGTGCAGCAATGGTCGAACCAGTCAAGGGGATGTGGCGGGATAGGTTCCAAATGACTGGGCGGAGCTGCAGTGGGGGGGGGGGGGGGGGGTGGGGGTGGGGAGGGGGGGATATGGGACATTTAATCCTTAGTGCAAGCAACGGACTAGCACAATCAGGGGCGCGGGTACAGCAATGGTCGAACTAGGCGAGAAGATGTAGCAATGGTCAAGGGGATGTGGCGGGATAGGTTCCAAATGACTGGGCGGAGCTGTAGGGACAGGGAGGAGGAGGGAGCAGCAGAGAAAGAAAAGGAGAGGGAGAGGGCAGCAGAGTGCGGGATTCACCCAGACCAATGCAACTAAGTCTATGGGTGCAGCAAAGGCAGATTGGGGCAAGGGGATGCGGCGGAATAGGTCACAAGTGAACGGCTAGAGCTGGGAGCATGGAGGCATGGGAGGGAAGCGAGGGACTAAAAGAGACTAGTGCAAGTAGAGGCGTGAGGGTGCAAGTAGAGGCGTGAGGGTGCAAGTAGAGGCGTGAGGGTGCAAGTAGAGGCGTGAGGGTGCAAGTAGAGGCGTGAGGGTGCAAGTAGAGGCGTGAGGGTGAGTTCCGCGATGGTACCCTTAATCAAGTGGATGAGGCGGAATAGGCAATCAGCGGTCCTACGCAAAGAGGAAAGGGGGTTGCAACAGGGAGACATGGGGTAACGAAGTGTATGTTTTTTGAGAATTCTCAAAAAGGAAACGAGGAAGTGGGGCTTTCAACGAGCGGTGTAGCTGAGGAGCAGGGGGTAGAGGAATGCAAGGCACATAGGCCACTCCATCAGTGCACGTGCGTATCTACGTCCAGACCAGGTTTAGCGTGATGTGCGTATGTGGAAGAGAGTGGGGGGAATGGAATTGTAGTCCTTCCCGACTGCTGTGATAATTCATAATGACAACTAGGGTATGTACTCTGATAACGAGTTGTGGTGGGAGGGGAAACCACAGAATGGAGGAAGGGGGGCGGGGGGCAGAGGAGACTCCCTAGCAGAGAAAAACTGGTGCGCCGATGCCGGGGATCGAACCCGGGTCTCTCGCGTGACAGGCGAGGATACTCACCACTATACTACATCGACTTGTTACTCATTGTCAGTGTAACTATGCGTTTGGGAAAGTGAACAGCACGCATCAAGACCTTCTCAATGCTACTCTGTAGTGCCAAAGACGCTCACCTGCCTGCCAGCTGTCTTGTTTAGCAGCATGCAGGCAACAAGCAGTCTCCAAGGGTCACGATACAGGCGCTCCTGAGTGGGGGATGTGGGGGGAGAGTGGAGAAGGGGGGGGTGGAGAAGGGAGGAAGGGAGAAGGGCGGGGGTAGAGAAAGAGTGGAGAATGAGTAACACAAAAGGCGCGGGTGACAGTTCAGCACACAATAGCCCACCACAGTGCACCGCACTCAAGAGCAGCCCACCTGAATGAGGCCGAAGGGAGACACAGGCGGCACCCATGCCCCAGTTGACGCTACCACACCATCAGTCCCCGCCACCCGGCCTGCTTGCACTGTTGTCACTGCACCTTCGCCCTCCGGCCCTTGTGAAGCCACCCCATGCGGCCCCATCAGTCGGCCTGCTTGCACTGCTGCCACTGCAGCGTTCTGCCCTTGTGAAGTCACGCCATCTCCTTGCTTGATCCCTACATCTCCTTCTTGCTTGATCCCTACATCTCCTTCTTGCTTGATCCCTACATCTCCTTCTTGCTTGATCCCTACATCTCCTTCTTGCTTGATCCCTACATCTCCTTCTTGCTTGATCCCTACATCTCCTTCTTGCTTGATCCCTACATCTGCTGCGCCGGCCCCCTCTGCTCTGCACCCTCTGATCTCCCTCATTCCTCTGCTCTCCCTCATCCCTCTGCTCCTCCTCTTTCTGCTGCTGCCAGCAACACTCCTACCCTCTCTCCCCTTCTTCTCTCCTCCCCTACATCCTTGCCCCACCGCCTCTCGCTGCCCCTCCTCCTCTGCACTCCCCTCACGACCATACTCTCCGTCCTCACTCTTCCCTTCCACCCGACCTTTGCTGTCCCTTTCTCGCATCTCCTCTGCTTCTGCATGTCCCTCACACTCCTCTCCTTCACAACACTCCTCCTCCCCACCCACAAGCACGGATGACGTTGATGACGTGGCACACCACCCTTCTGACTCAGCCACCTCCCCCCCTCCCTCTCCGCCTCTTACAACAGCAGCAGTCCCTTTCTCCCTCCCCTCCTCTCTCCTCTCTTCACAATTTTCCCTAGTTCCATCCTCCCTCTCCTCCCTCTCTCCATCTTCCCCCATTCCTGCTGTTGTGCATCGACCAATCACAGGCTTTCCCCCTCTCCTCTCCATCCTCCTTACACACTCCACACCCTTCAGCCCCTCGTTGTCTCTCAACCTGTCTCCGTGGCTCAATTCCCTTCTGCCACGTGGCAGAGACACGACAGGCAGTGCCAGCACAATAGGTGCACCCTCGTTCCCTCTGCTCCAACCCACAGCCCATTCCCCTTCCCTCTCCGCTCCCCCTCCCCCCTCCGTTGCCCCTTCCCCCTTCGGTCTTCCTTCCCCCTTCGGTCTTCCTTCCCCATTTTCTCCCCCTTCCCCTTTGCTCCTCAACCACTTCTCCCTTCCGATTTCCCTCCTTGGTTCTCTTTTTATTCCCTTGCCCAATACAACGTTCTCCTCTCCGCCATCTGCCCCTTCTCCTCCCCTTTCCGCCACACCCCCTCGTCTCCTCTTTCCTCTTCCCTCGTTCGTTCCTCCCCCACTCCCAATCTCGTCACTCACGTTACGTCCACCTCCGCTTTCCACGCCCCCCCTTTTGCCGTTAGCCCCATTCACATCGCCTGCTGCACGGGTGGGACTGCTTCCGCGCAGTTTCTTGAAGCCGCAAAAAAGAGATCTTTGCGGACTGCCCGTTGCGGGACCAGGTAGGATGCTAGTGAGTAATTTCTTCGGGCTGCCCGTCGCTGCTTTTTCTGGACTGCCCGTTGTCGTGTTTCCCGGGCTGCCCATGAACCGCCATTGGTCGAAACTATCTGATGATACTCCCGGGGACGCCGGTACGTACGGCACGGAGACGTTCGGGGAGAGCGGGAGATAGCCGCGCGGAACGTAGGGAGAGGGGGAAACTTGCGGGGACGGGGAGGCAGGTCCAGCGCGCGGAGGAGCCCGCGGAAGAACGGCGGGCTCCGCGTGCTGCGGGCCCGACGAATCTGGGGAGAAAGGTGGAGCGAGGGATGGCGGAACATGAGGGAATACGGGCGCAGAGCTATGCGGAAGGAGAGCGGGGAAGGCCTCCGGATGGAACGATGGCAGCGCGGGCGACAGGAGATCGTCGCTCGGCGACACGGCGATGTCGCCTTGCGAGGCCTCCTCGTGCGACGGCAGATCGTCGCCTGGAGGAGCCTGCGACGAAAAAGCGACAGGTTCTTCGTCGTTGGGAAGCGATAGGATGACGTCAGGAGGTGAGGAGACGACGTCGGACGGGGTCAAGATGACGTCAGCGGGGTCGTCACGGGAAAGGAATGGGACGGTAGGGTCATCGACGTTCAACTGGTGCTCGTTTAGCCGCGGTGCGATTGGAGGCGCCTCGGGATCTTTTCGCAGCTGTGGTACTGTGGCGGCCATGTCCCCAACGTCACTGTTTTGAGATAAAATCTAAAAGAAAAAATAAAAAACCGATCAGCTGTGGCTCTAAATTCGACAGGCGAGAACAAGCTGTCACTCTGAAGCCTCTCAATCTGCCGCTTATGTCGTACTCCATCGTTCTGTGCTGTTGCTTATTTGTTGTGCTGTGCATGCCGAGAAAATAACTCACGACTTCGACGGGAAATCTGTGTGGTGTGTGTGCGTGGGGGGGGGGGGGGGGGAGGATGGGGCGGAGAGGGCGGGAGTTGGGAAGGGGGGAATAAAGGCAGCTGGTCGGGCGAATGCGGGGTTGAGCAGAAGGGGAAAGTGCTGTGCGCGCACGACCCCAAGCACCTGCGGTTTCTGGTCGTGCGCGGAATTGCGGAAGCGCGAGGTGTTGGGCGTCTCGCAGCGCGCGCGATCTTTCTGACGCGCTTTTTGGCGGGAGCGTGATGGTGACGAGGGTTTCGTCTTTGCGACGAGATCGCGAAAGATCGTCAACACGTTACCACTTATTTGCAACAATTCGGGCAGAGGCACAAAGGAGCTATACAATTCGGGCAGAGGCACAAAGAAACATTTTGTAATGCTGTCGAAAATCAGACAAGATGACAAGGCCGCCATGGATTCTACCGCGGAACTTTGAGAGCCTGTTTCGTGAAGGTTACTTATCAGTTCGTAACTCTGAGATCAGATCTGAAGTCCTGGGTACATTCCGATGCAGAGGATATAACCTTCATGTCTACTACGCGGACATTATAACCTCGGCTACACAGGTGTTTCTCAAGGTTACAAGCACATTTCAAGTTAACCACAATCAAGGGTCTCTCGATTCTGCCGGCATCATCCTGGTTACCTTCGAAGTTTTACGTCAACAAGTTTTATCTACAATACATGGCTGGCTCTCTTATCTACTTTATCAAACTTCAAGGAGAGATCCCAAGGCGATCACATCGGGAATACTTCATTTCCAGCAAGAAAGCAAGGCCCTGGTGCACAGAACCTGTTATAAGGAGGTGGTGCTCAGCTCCATAGCAGCATCAGTTTCACAAGCTTCACGTGCTTCTAGCCTGTTGTCAGGCACTTTCAGGCTGCTCTCTGGTCGTCTTCATTGCACCATGCCTCCTAAGCGCGCGACGAAGGTGGCTGCAGACGTCACGCTCCCTGATGACCTCCTTACGGACCCGATCGTTCTGCCGACACCTGCTGGGGAAGACACTGGAATGAAAGGTTCGGCAGACATGGTTAACGCGACTACCTCTCTGGCGACGGACAATGTTGCTGCAAAAGAGAAGGCCAAGGTTACTGCTGAATCTGATTCGAAGGTCATGGACAATGTTGCTGGAAGCTCTGGATTGACCGTGGAAGAGAAGAATCAGGCTTATCAGGCGTATCAGGCTCCTTCGGCGGTAGCTGATGAGTTCCTGGAGGATGACTCGGACGAAGAACTGGAAATCGACATTGCAAAGGAGGATGCTTTCCGTCTTCGCTTTACTGCAATTTTACTAATCCCGATGACACTGTCTCAGGAGATCAAAGCGATAATCGCAGCTGTTCGCATTCTGATGACAAAAGTTTGGAGCTCGTCACTTACTGAGAACGCTGGCGTCACTGCCAACATTCAGGAGATGACCCCAGGCTTCGTGGCGAAAACGCGGTTCTGCCGGCTTCAAATTTCTTTCCTTGATGAGCGCGATGCTCACCATATCAAGTTTCACGTCTTTGAGTATCAGAGGTCCAATGCTCCTGCGATCAAATGCATCTGGCAGCACACGGAAGATGCTTCCTACCTTAGGGAGAAGGCTGCTCACCCGCTTGCTGTTGAGGTGGTTTTCCGTCGCGTACCTGCTAACATTGTCCCGGATGTGCTGAAGGATCCGCTCGTCCGCTTCAAGCTGAAGATGCGCAAGCAGTCGGCATTCAAGGATGGTCTCGCCTTCCATCGCGTGGTTCACCCACTCACCGGCGCTGATACGGATGTGATTAAAGGCCTCGTTATTCAACACCCGGGAGATCGTTACCGCTGGCGCCATGTCGTTGACAACCCGATGGAGTCCGGTGGGAAGCTGTTGGTCCACTACCCTGCACTGTCCTGCCTGCTCTGCGGAGGACAGCATTATGACATCCATCATGATCTGTTCATCACAGAGCGGCAGAACAATATAGGGAAGTGGAACCTTACCCTGGGAAAGGCCCATAGCATCAATGATAACAGCATCGGCTTCTTTCATGGCTTCACTGTTTTACCCTTACCTCTTTCTAACTTTACTGACGCTCCCTGTTGCGCTCGCAGCTGCCTCTCTGCGCACCTCTGCTCTTACCACACCCATCCTGAAAGACCCCGCCATTGCTCTAGTCTCGACCGGCAGCATCCGCGAGGAATGGATCTGCACGCAAGTAGGCTGCGGGAAGGCGAAAGGGAAAACCTTCATGTCTGCTGCAGATCACATTGCCTCTGCGACTCACCTGTTGAACCTCGAGAAGCTGGGTACCGCGACGAAGGTCTCGATGGACAAGGCCAATCTCACCGGTCTGAAGAAGGAGTACGGATTCTGATCTTGCGGAACGAGAACCGGGTGCTGTTAGCGATCGTCGGATGGAGTGCGGTGGTCAGTCTAGTCACCATCTTCAGCCTGTGGATGAACAAGGGCTGCCATCCAGTGATTAAATGAGTAACAAAAATTTCTTCTCCTTAGCAGGCCTTAACGTCAATGGCCTGGGTGACAGAACAAAGCAAGACAGAGTTATAACTTGGTCCAGAACAGCCGCTGACATCATTATCCTCTCAGACACGAGACTGCCAGATAACCACTCTTACTGGAAAACAACCACTTTTACCACAGTCCTCACTACCCCACCCACTGACAAAGCCGGAGGAGTAGCCATTCTAACACGGGATCCTGCCATCTTATTTCAAAACGTTAAAACTCACCCATCCGGGAGGCTTATAGTAGCCGATGTTGGCCGCTCTGGCTTCTCTCTCACCCTTCTAGCCGCTTACTTTCCCGCTGACGCGACTGACAGATGCTCCTTCCTTATGAACGTGGTAGGACCCGCTTTTGATCAGATCCCCTCAACTGCGCACGTGGTTCTCATAGGTGACCTGAACACAGTAGAAGACCCTATATTAGACCGTACATCCCAAACCGGTACATCATTAGAGAACGACAGACTTATCTTACGATGCTGCCGGTTTCAGCTGTCCGACGCTTTCCGCACGCTGCAACCTAAGCTCCGAGAGTACACCTTTTATGCCGCTTCCAAGCAATCCAGCTCTCGCATTGACCGCGCTCTCATTTCTTGCTCACTTCTGCCGCACCTTGACATTGCTGCACACATAAGACCCGAAGAGTATATCTCAGATCATGGTTTTGGCATCAAAATTGCTCTCAAAATAAATGCCTCGTGTCACCTGGGCCCTGGCATCTGGAGGCTTCATGCTGCGGCTCTAGGTCGCCCGGGGATTCGGAAAGCTGTTGAAGCCGCTCTGGAGAAGGCAGCTGCTGGTGGCGAAGGGGATTTTGAGTTGCTCCTGGGCAGACTCAACGCCGGTCTTCGATCCTATATGAAGTAGGAGAGCAAACGGGTTAAGCGTACAACGGCTCATCTCGCAGAGGTGGTGGCGGAGCTTCATCAGGAGCAGATGAGGAACCCTGGGTGTCAAAAAACGAGAGATCTGCTTCATATCAGAGATACACAGCTGAAGGAGTATCATGCGTCGCGGAGAGACAGACTTCACATGATGACAGGGACAAACACAGAACTGGCTGGAGAGGTCCCCTCCCCCTTCCTCTCAGCACGGGTCAAGGTTCGAAAGCAGAAAACGCAGATAACGGAGCTGGTGGTCTGTGATTCTAAGATATCAGACTCACCTGGGATTTTGAAGGCTGCGACTCAATATTTCACTGATCTTTTCGGCACGGACGGCCGGACATCTTCGGCAAGATGGAGACCGCTCACGGGCAGGAAGTTGGACGCGGTTGCAGCAGAAGGACTGGCAGCAGACTGGTCGGAGGCGGAGGTGAAGCAGGCTTTTAAGGCACTTGCGAACGGGAAGTCGCCGGGTAAGGACGGGCTCCCGAAGGAGCTTTTCGAGCAGAACTGGGACATTCTTGGCGGAGAATTCCTTCGAATGGCGCAGTCCTTTGCTGACACTGCGTCATTATCTGCAAGCATTAAGGAAGCCGTCACTATTCTGCTGCACAAGAAAGGGGAGAAGGACAACCTGGACAACTACCGCCCGATTACGCTTCTAAATTTCACTTACAAGGTGTTGGCGCGTGTGGTGGCGAATCGGATGAAGCAGCACCTGCATAAGGTGATCTCGGCGGAACAGTACGGTTTTATTCCAGGAAGGAGGATCTCGGATGCCATCGGGGTTGTCGCTGACGTGATTGAGGTAGCGAAGAAGGGGAACAAGGACTGGTACATGTTGCTGGTGGATTTTCGGAAGGCTTTCGACTCGGTGTCACGCAGCTTCCTGTTCACAGTCCTCAGGGAGATGGGCTTCCCGGAGAGATTCGTTGGCTGGGTGGAAGGCCTGCACAAGGACACCAGGACGAGGTTGTTGATAAATGGTTGGCTCGGTGAAGCAGTGGAAGTCAGGTCGGGGGTGCGGCAAGGCTGTCCACTGGCCCCATACCTGTTTCTCTGTGCGGTGGAGCCACTGGCGCAGGAAGCGGTCCGGAGGAAGCTAGGTCTCTGCAACATGGCGAATCAACGGTTAGCATACGTCGGGTACGCCGATGACACAACATTATTCCTGGAAGGGAAGGGGCAGATCGCCAGGGCGGAGAAGCTGCTCGGTTTCTTCGCTGGTCTGTCAGGGCTGCAAACGAATAAATCCAAGTCAGTCATCCTTCCTATCGGGCATAACATTGGGAGAAGGCCTGGTACGCTCGGCGGTTTCAAATGGGCGAAGGCGGACGAAGCTGAACGTGTTCTGGGGATCTGGGTTACTCCCTCTGGAAACAGCGAGCCGACCTGGAAGAGAGCTTACGAGAAAATAATAGTGGAGCTGATCAAATGGAAGGCACTCTTCCTTACGATTGCGGCCAGAGTGGTGATTATCAACAGTTACATCTCGCCGCGGATTGCCTACCAGGCGCAAGTTTATCCGCCGACGGAGGAGATTTGGAAACGGCTCTTGAAGCTGATTCATAACTTCCTGACGGGGAATAACGCAACGGCTGAAAAGGGGTTTGTGCTGTGGAACTGGGGTTTGCTCACTACGCCGAAGGTTGACGGAGGGCTGGGGGTGCTGGACCCTGAAATCCTTCTCGCCTGTCTTGCCGCGAGGCGCATCGGGGGGCTACTGCTGGAGGAGAACGGGATGAAAAAAGAAATCATGCTTACTGCGGCCGGTCTCCCGCTTGGAGAGGACACTTTTCTGGCGCACACAAAGCTGCTGAAACACTGGCCGGGAGATGGGGAGCGCTGGAAGCGCGCGAGCGAGACTTTCATGAACTCTCCTATTGCGGACACCGGGAAATCCTATAGCAGAGAGGAGGTGTCGCAAGAACGGGTGGTTTTCAATCGGAAGCTGTTGCTCAACGGTACAAATCCAGTAGGGGGGCAGAAGGGAGCTAAGGGCCTCTGGGAGACGAGGCTAGGTGATCTGGTTGCTCCGCAGAGAGACGGGTCGGTAGGGATCAAAGACATTGATACACTGGAGCAGGAGCTTCGCAGCAGAGACTCTGCGCGGCTGGCTCTCAGAGCTTTTGATGCAGCACCTCAAGAGTGGAAGTCAGCCCTTGCCCCTGATTCTGGGCGTGATGTAGAGGAGGGTTTGTTGCGCAACCCTGTTGTCACAGCAGTTAGGAGGGGGAGTGCGACAGCTACGATCTTCCGCTCAGCTGTTTTCACGGACGGGCAGCTAACACCCATGAAGCAATTGAGGGATACGTGGGCCAGGCCAGATGCAGTGCTGACGAAGCAGGCGAAGTGGTCCGGCAAATGGTGCGGCAAGATTGACTGGGAGCGAGTCATCCGTACCCGCAACTCGCTCGCCATTCCGAACCGGCCTCGAGATGTCCTCACACGTGTCCACAACCTGAACCTTCAGGTTGGGGAAAGGGTGGATTTTCTCAGCAGCAAGCCCAAATGTCCATACTGTGGAGAGGTGGAGACACATGACCATTGCCTGTTCAGCTGCCAAAAAATTCAGCCCGTGGTCCAGGGGCTCCGAAGAGCTCTGCGCATGCTAAACCCAGCAAGGGTGCCCGCCTCGTTGGGGGATCTACTGTTCCAGGAAACTGGTACCACGTCAGACTTTCCAGAAGCCACGCTAACTTCCATCACTTTTCACCAGCTCTGGATGGAGCGCTGTGACGCAAGTTTCCGCGGGCAGAATTTCAGAGCACGTCGGGTGCTAAGGAGGATTTGTTCGGCTTTTCGGTTACATGCAAGAGTGTACACGAGGGTGACGGGGGCGAAAATGCGGAGGCCAAGTAAGGCGGGGAGACATAAGAAGGTCAGGAGTGTGTTTGAAGCAGAGCATAAAATGCTGCTGAGGATCAGGGAAGACGGCGACAAAAAATGGCAATGGAAGGCCAGCTTTGCAGCAATCTGGAACAGACCAAGAAGGGTTTTCTTACCGCCCTAGATACCCTGTTGGGCAGCTCAAGGTGTCTGCCCTCACGCTCAGTTACGACTGCTATTGTTGTATGCATTGGCCTCATTAATGTATACTTCAATTCAAAAAAAAACTTATTTGCAACATATTTGTACAGTACACTCCATTCCGAGCCGAGTTCTATCACATTTCAATTTGGCCATTTCAACTCCATGTCAGCGCAATCTACCCCCGCTTTAGTCACCAAAAAAGCCACTTAGGGCGAGGCAGAGACTGCAGGTGCAGCCCAAGTTAGAATAACTAAATGCAATTCAGCAGAACAGCGCTCGTTTCTATCACGATCGTTAATGCAGCGTGTTCCCGCCACACCCGCGACGATGCTCACTTCGCGTCGCCTTTATGTCGTAGAGGCATACCCGCAACGGAGCTATTTGCAGGTGCAGCTTCGATAGTGCCTTGTCGAGCTTTTACATACCTCTATCTTTAACTCTTTAGCCTGAATCCGCCCTTCGCTTTCCGCTAATGGCGCGGACGGACGGCCAGCTTGCGCTGCTCCACGTGCAGCGCGCCAATCGCCCGCGCATTGCGCCGATCCTCCGCGTTGTCACTACTGGCGCGGCCCAGCTCCCAGTGGTGGCGCTCGCGGCGCAAGGGCAGCTCGGGAAAGGGCAGGTGGCGCAACCGCAGCCTGCGCAAGCGCAGGCGCAACTAGTGGCGGGGCGCGCGGGGCAGGTAGTGGCGCCACTGCAGGCCGGTGCCCCCGGAAAAAGCGGGCCCCCTTCCGCCACTTCTGCCGCTCCGCCTGCGCCTGTTATCCCCCCGCCCGCTGCTGCTGCCCCGCTCGCAGGCGCCGCCGCCAAGCCCTCCGCCTCCTCCGCTGCAGAGGAAGCAGTACGTGAACAGAAGGCGGAGGCTGAAAAGCGTGCAGGAGGAGAACCCTCAAACGTGGCAGCAGGCGCGACGAGAGAGGTTGGGGGGGCGGAAGAGGAGGAGAGGGGGGGTGAGGGTGGGAAAGGGAAGGAGGGGGGGAAGGCGGAAGGGGCGGAGGGTGCAGGGGGACAGGCTGGTGCGGCAGGGGCTGCTGGCGTGGGTGGTGCTGGCTCTGGCGTTCGTGATGAGGCAAAGACTGCTGCTGCTGGTGCTGCTGGTGCTGCTACTAGTGATGCTGCGGGGGTGGCTGGAGCTGATACAGCCGCTGCTACAGGCGCAGCCACAGTGCCAGCTACAGTAACAGCCACGGTCGCTGCTACAGTAGCGACTACAGTGACTGCTACAGTGGCGGTAGACGCGGAGCACCCCACGGTGGCCACGGTTGTCCTGGAGCCTGCTGGCGCTGTGCGCTTTGAATCGACTCCCTCCACCCCCGCCCGCCCGCTGCCCCTCAAACCACAAACTAAACCCCCGGCTGCCGCAGCAGCTGCCACAACAGCAGCAATGAGAGGAGGGAAGATGAAAGAGGAAGAGCGGGTGGGTGACGGGGCAGCAGAAGGTGGGGGGGAAGGGGAAAGGGGAGGACGAGGGAGGGGAGAGGGAGGAGAGGGAGAGGCGGGAGGCGCAGAGACAGGTGGGCGCAGGGGGAAGCATGCAGGTGCGGTAGCCATGGCAGGAGGAATCGACAGAAGAGAGGGTGATGGGGAGAGTGGAGGAGGAGGGAGAGGAGGAGGGAGTGGGAAAGGAAGTGGGAAACATGGCACTTGTAAGCTGCCGCCCGCAAAGCACTCCAAGTCGTTCAAACTCTCGTCTTCTTCAAAAAAGCCGACTCTCAAAGTGACCTTTGACTCCTCCCAAAAGTCATCTTCCCTCAAGAAGCCGTTTTCCTCCAAGTCTAAGCACGCCCCGCTGCCGCCCAAACACGCCGCCCCTGCCAAACATGCCGCCCAGTCCAAGCAGTCTGCCGCCCAGAAGCGGGCGGCGGGGGGGAAGCAGCCGCTGAGCCCCACTAGGCATTCTGCCAGGCTGGCGCTGATCTCCCCCGCCCGGAAGAAAGGGCGGTGGGGTGGGGAGGAGTGGGAGGGCGGTGATGCGGATGAAGGGGAGGAGGGAGATGGGGGGAGGAAGGAGGGGAGCAAGAAAGGGGCAGGGAAGGAGGAGGAAGGTGGAAGAAGGGGGGCGGATGGGGAGAGGGATGGGGAAGGGAAGGGGGACGACGGGCGGAAGGGGAAAGGCGTGTGGAAAGGGAGAGTGGAGAGTGGTGCAGATGGTAAAGCGATGGGTCGCACAGAAAGAGGAGGCAGCAAGGGAGTGAGAGAGGAAACGAGCAGCAGAGGTGGAGGGAAGGGAGAGAAGGAGAGGTGGGGGGGGAAGGGGTTGCGAGAGAGAGGAGGTCAGGGTGGTAGGGTAGAGGAGAGTGGAGGGGAGAGGCAGGGGGAGAGGAAGGGGGAGAAGGGAGGAGGGGCGCGAAGGGAAGTGGGGGGTGTAGGAGGGGAGGGTGGAGGGCGGTTCTCAAGGAAGAGGAGGCGGGGAGAGGCGGATGACAGTGCCGGTGCTGCTGCTGCTGCTGCTGGGGGTGGTGGTGATGCGGGTGCTGCCAGTGCTGAGAGTGGTGCTGTTGCCGATGATGCTGGTGGTGCTGCTAATGCAGGGACAGGGTTGAGCGAACGGGGTAGGCAAGAGGGGAGGGAGGGGAGAGAAGGGAGAGAGGGGAGAGAAAGAGCAGACGGTGCAGAGGAGGAGGCAGAGCAGCAGCGGAGCAAGCGTCCCGTGGTTGAGGGGAGGGGCGCAGAACAGAGGGATGGGCAGAGAGTTGGTGCAACAACCCCCACCAAAGCCAAAGCCAAGGCTACACCTAGTGCTGCCGCTGCTGCTGCTGCTGCTGCTCGGCCCATGGCTCCCCCATCCACTCGCTCCGCTACCGTCCTTTCTCCCCCTCGCCCCTCCCCTCGCGCTCCTCTGCGCCCTCCCCCTCGTGCCTCCCCTCGTGCGCCCCCCCCTGCTCCCCCGCGCCTGGCTGCCCCGTCTGCAGCAGCGGACCGCGCAGCAGCAGCCATGGCTGCTGCCAGGAGCCTGGGGGGCTTGGGAGGGGGGCTGGACTGGCCTCCTGTTGACACTCCCGAGGCAGAGGCTTGCGCTGACGCCCACGCCACTCCAGGGAGCCTTGAAATTTCCGAAAATCCCGAGGATTCAGAGAGTTTTGAGGCTCTTCAGATGGGTGGGAAGGCTGTAAAGGCAGCAGAGGTGGTGGTGGTGAGGTCTGAAGCAGAGGCGAGGGGGAGGGGTGGGGGCAAGGTGGGTGTGGTGGCGGAGGGTGAGAAGGGTGGTGCGGGGAGGGGGAGTGAAGGGGGGAGGAGAGGGGGGGAGGAAGTGAGGGTGAGAGGGGGAAGGGTGGCAGGGGCGGCAGGGGCGGCAGGTGTGGGAGCAGTGGTGAAGATTGTATTAGCGGCTGAGGCGAGGGGTGGTGGGATGGGGGAGGTAAGTGGTGATGGTGGGAAGGAAGATGACTGGATTTTGTTGGAGCAAGAGGAGGAGGGGGAGGGGGAGGAAAGAGGGAAGGGAGGAGGGAGTGAGAGGGCGGAGCAGGGGGGGATAGCATTTGAAGAAGAGGGAGAGGAGGAGAGTGTGGATGTGGAGGAAGCTGATGATGATACTGATGAGGAGGGGGAGGGGGAGGATGAGGAAGATGAAGAGGAGGATGAGGAGGATGATGATGAGGGGGGGTTTGACATGGATGGGGGGGCGGTGGCAGCGCTGGCAGCGGCGGGGATAGACATCAGCATGCATGGCACGCGGAGCCTCTCAGAGGCTGACGTGGCAGCTGCTTGCCACCAGTGAGTGCTAGTGTGTGTCACTGCATGCGTGCATGCATCCCACCGCCGCCACCTGGCACTGCCACCATGCTGCTGCTGGTACTGCCTCGTCCTCTTACTCTCCTCCCCCATCCCTCTGGTTACATCAGGTACGGAGCGGCCTTCATAACGGCTCTCCTGCACGAGGAGGCTCAGGATGCACCCTTGAATCATGCACCCTTGAATCATGCCTATACCTCCCCAACCCCCCTCCCCTCCCGTCCCTCACAACCCACGTCAGGTACGGAGCAGCCTTCATAATGGCTCTCCTGCACGAGGTGGCACGGGAGGCATCCTACAACGAGCCATACACCCACCCACCCTCACAATGCTTTCATGACACATTCCCCCCTCAACACCCACACAACCCCCTTCAGGTACGGGGCGGCCTTCATAATGGCTCTGCTCCACGAGGTGGCACGGGAGGCATCGTACCGCCGCCACCTCCACTGGCCGTCCATAGCCGCCCGCCTCTCGGCCAATCACAGCTTCCCCGTCGCCAGCCTGGCGCTCTGCCAGCTGCTGTGGCGCTGGCTGGCCTACGGCCGCCCCTTCTCGCACCAGGACACGCTGCCCTCTGCACCGCTCCTGGTGAGTGTTGAGGCACCTTGAAACAACGTCGTTTCCTGTCTTGTGATTTGTGTGCTGGCTGGCCTACGCCCGCCCCTTCTCGCACCTGGACACGCTACCCTCCGCGCCCCTGCTGGTAAGATGCTGCTCCCCTCAGGTGTTTTCGCCTCTGCCAGCTGCTCTGGCGCTGGCTTGCCTACGGCTCCCCTTCTCGCACCTTGGCACCCTCCCCTCCGCACCCCTGTTGGTGAGTTTCCTCCTCTGCACTTGCGTGGTCGTTGCGCTGCCTCGCCTACAACCACCCACCCCTGCCCACCCCTGCCCACCCCTTCTCGCACCTCCGCACGCTGTTCTCCGTGCCGCTGCTGGTGATTTTTTAGGTGCCTCAAAACATGTGTTTATGGGAGTGGCAGGAGGAGGAGGAGAGGCGATTTAGAGGACGAGCCGGAATACCCTCTTAAACCATCGTTATTTCGAATACCTGTTTAGCTCATGTCATGTGCGCATGGCACTCACTCTCTGTGTATGTTTGTCGCAGGAGGAGGAAGAGTTTGAGTGACCTTTAGATACATCGCCTTTGAGGCGATTGATTAACCCATGTCATGCGCTGATGTAAAACAATACATGCGCATGGCACTCACTCTGTGTGTATGTTTGTGGCAGGAGGAGGAGAAGAGCGACCTAGAGGACGAGCTGGAGTATCCTCTGGACACGTCGCCTCTGAAACACCTGAATAGTTCGCGTCATGTGCACTAGTGCAGCACAACACATGGTATAACAATTACTCTGTGTGTGTATGTGAGTGTGTGTGGCAGGAGGAGGAGGAGAGTGACCTAGAGGACGAGCTGGAATACCCGCTGGACACGTCTCCTCACCTCATTTCCGCCGCTGCATCGTTTGTCAAGGTGTGTATACGAGTTTTGAGCCAACTCTAAACTTGTCAAGGTGTGTCAAGTGTGCGTGCATCGAGGAGCACTTTGCTCAAGTGTGCGTGCATCGAGGTGCACTTTGCTCAAGTGTGCGTGCATCGAGGTGCACTTTGCTCAAGTGTGCGTGCATCGAGGTGCACTTTGCTCAAGTGTGCGTGCATCGAGGGGCACTTTGCTCAAGTGTGCGTGCATCGAGGGGCACTTTTCTCAAGTGTGCGTGCATCGAGGGGCACTTTGCTCAAGTGTGCGTGCATCGAGGGGCACTTTGCTCAAGTGTGCGTGCATCGAGGGGCACTTTGCTCAAGTGTGCGTGCATCGAGGGGCACTTTGCTCAAGTGTGCGTGCATCGAGGGGCACTTTGCTCAAGTGTGCGTGCATCGAGGGGCACTTTGCTCAAGTGTGCGTGCATCGAGGGGCACTTTGCTCAAGTGTGCGTGCATCGAGGGGCACTTTGCTCAAGTGTGCGTGCATCGAGGGGCACTTTGCTCAAGTGTGCGTGCATCGAGGTGCACTTTGCTCAAGTGTGCGTGCATCGAGGTGCACTTTGCTCAAGTGTGCGTGCATCGAGGGGCACTTTGCTCAAGTGTGCGTGCATCGAGGGGGACTTTGCTCAAGTGTGCGTGCATCGAGGTGCACTTTGCTCAAGTGTGCGTGCATCGAGGGGCACTTTGCTCAAGTGTGCGTGCATCGAGGGGCACTTTGCTCAAGTGTGCGTGCATCGAGGGGCACTTTGCTCAAGTGTGCGTGCATCGAGGTGCACTTTGCTCAAGTGTGCGTGCATCGAGGTGCACTTTGCTCAAGTGTGCGTGCATCGAGGGGCACTTTGCTCAAGTGTGCGTGCATCGAGGTGCACTTTGCTCAAGTGTGCGTGCATCGAGGGGCACTTTGCTCAAGTGTGCGTGCATCGAGGGGCACTTTGCTCAAGTGTGCGTGCATCGAGGGGCACTTTGCTCAAGTGTGCGTGCATCGAGGTGCACTTTGCTCAAGTGTGCGTGCATCGAGGGGCACTTTGCTCAAGTGTGCGTGCATCGAGGGGCACTTTGCTCAAGTGTGCGTGCATCGAGGTGCACTTTGCTCAAGTGTGCGTGCATCGAGGTGCACTTTGCTCAAGTGTGCGTGCATCGAGGGGCACTTTGCTCAAGTGTGCGTGCATCGAGGGGCACTTTGCTCAAGTGTGCGTGCATCGAGGGGCACTTTGCTCAAGTGTGCGTGCATCGAGGGGCACTTTGCTCAAGTGTGCGTGCATCGAGGTGCACTTTGCTCAACTGTGCGTGCATCGAGGTGCACTTTGCTCAAGTGTGCGTGCATCGAGGTGCACTTTGCTCAAGTGTCTCTGGCTGCTGAGTGGGGGGGGCTCGTTCGGAGCCCCCAAGTACCTGCAGCCGTATGATTCGGCGAGCAGCAGTCTAAAAGAAATCTCAACCAAAGCTTGATCGGAATCGCTGTGAGTGAAGTCTTTGGTACAAGTGTTGACTGTTGGGCCGATGAGATTCGGAGCTGTCAACCTATGCGGCTTGCTGAGAAGGTAGAGAAGAAAGGAGAATGCAGTGTCGAGGAATTAGAGTGCGATTAGAAATCTGCTTTTGAGTCGACTCAAAAGTAGAGTGCGATTAGAAATCTCCTCAAACAGTCTCTACGCTTGTCTCTTTCAAAGCAGTCAGAAAGGGCTTTAAGCTCAATTTGAGTTCCTTCATCAGAAGCACGTCTTTCCTCATCAGAAGCAGGTCTTTCCTCATCAGAAGCAGGTCTTTCCTCATCAGAAGCAGGTCTTTCCTCATCAGAAGCAGGTCTTTCCTCATCAGAAGCAGGTCTTTCCTCATCAGAAGCAGGTCTTTCCTCATCAGAAGCAGGTCTTTCCTCATCAGAAGCAGGTCTTTCCTCATCAGAAGCAGGTCTTTCCTCATCAGAAGCAGGTCTTTCCTCATCCCTGCTCGTGTTGCGGCATGCCCCATCATGTACATCGCAGGCTGACTTGGCTGATTCCGGCATTGCCTATGGGTGGTACCACTCGTGCCACCCAGGGAAGCACGGCACCTCTGAGGCGCCTCACAAGCACGACGCACGGCAACAGCAGCAGGCGGAGGGAGGAGGGCAGACGCACACGGAGCAAGGCATGGCACAGGCCAAGGATCGCCAGCAGGGAGAGCGGGAGGAGCAGCAGCGGCAGCAGCAGCGGCAGCAGCACACACAAGGAGAGAATTTCCATGACCCTTGGGACTTAGGCATCCCCAGTCCTGCCACCCATGCCCTTTCGACTGCCCAGACCCACGCCCCTCTGCCCCCTGTCGACCCTGCTGCTGCTGAGATTGGGGTGGGGGAGATGGGGATAGAGGAGGGAAGAGGGGGAAGAGGGGACGTGGAGAGGGGAGGGGAGGGGGGGACGAAGCGGAAATGGGAGGGTACAAGAGACGGGAGGAGGGATGGGGAGCAGCAGAGAAAGAATGGAGTGTCAGGGAAGGTGAGCGGTAGGGAGGATGGGGAGGATGGAGGAGATGGGGGGGATGGAGTTGGGGAGGGTAAGGAGGGGGAGGAGGATGAGGACGAGGAGGAGAACAAGCCAGTGGCGCGGCTGGTGAGTCAACACGCGCCAGTGGCCAAGGCTGCAGAGGGCGCAAAGGGGGAGGGTGGGGCAGGGAAGGAGCAGGGCAAGACCGGGGATGGAACAGTAGGAGGAGTAGCAGGAGGCGGAGGAGGAGTAGCAGGAGGCGGAGGAGGAGTAGCAGGAGGCGGAGGAGTAGCAGGAGGCGGAGGAGGAGTAGCAGGAGGCGGAGGAGGAGTAGCAGGAGGCGGAGGAGGAGTAGCAGGAGGCGGAGGAGGAGTAGCAGGAGGCGGAGGAGGAGGGAGTCGGAAGGCATTGGTGAAGGGTTCAGAAGAAGCAGCCTTGGCTGCAGGGGCAGGGGGGGGAGGAGGGGAAGGGGGAGGGAAGAAGGACGGAGCGAAAGCCGCTGCCGGAAAGGCAGCAGCAGCAAAGGCATGGACAGGCGGTGAGGGGGAGGGTGGGGCAGGCGACAAGAAGGCCAGCAGCAGCAACGCCCAGCCCGCCAAACCCAGCAAGGCAGGCGCCGCTGCCGCTTCTGCATCTGCTGCTGCCTCTGCCTCTGCTTCTGCCGCTGCCGCTGCTGCTGCAGGCAGTGCAGGTGGTGGCAGTGGCAGCACAGAGGGAAAGGGGGCTGCAGGGGGAGGGGGAGGGGCAGCAGGGGGAGCAGGGGGCACAGCGGGGGGAGCGGGAGGGGGAGGGGGAGCAGCGGATGGAGAGGCGAAGAAGAAGCGCAAGGCATGGACGCCCGATGAGGACAAGCTGCTGCTCAAGGCGGTGGAGGTGTACGGCGAGGGGCAGTGGGGGCGCGTGCTCAAGAGCGACTTGGGGATTGAGAGGAACGCCGCCCAGCTGTCCCAGGTGAGTGTGTGGGATGTATGGAGTTTGTGGGTCTGTGTTTGCCTCAGTTGCTGCTGCTGCTGCTGCTGCTGCTGAAGGTGATAGAGGTGTATGGGGAGGGGCAGAGAGGGCGCGTGCTCAAGAGGAACGCCCCCAGCTGTCCCAGGTGGGCAGGTGGGTGGGTGGGTGGGTGGGTGGGTGGGTGGGTAGGTGGGTAGGTGTGTGGGTGGGTGTGTGGGTGGTGTGTGGGTGGGTGTGTGGGTAGGCCTGTGGGTGGGTGTGTGGGTGGGTATGTGGGTGGGTGTGTGGGTGGGCATGTGGGTGGGTGGGTGTGTGGGTGGGTGTGGGCGGGCAGGTGGGTGGGTGGGTGCATCGTGTGAAAAGAACCTTTGAGAAGGAGGGGTGCTGATACCAGGTCAGTACTTTCTTCAATTGCCTGCTCCTCACTGTCCCCTTCCCTCCCTACCCAACTCCCTCTCTCTGCGCGTCCCCCTCCTTTCCACCCGAATGCCAGCGCTGGTCCATTCTATGCAAAATTTCTGAGAAAGAAAGGGTTCCGATCCCAATTCCATTGCTCACGCTCTCCTTCACACCCCCCTTTCTCTGCTCTCTCTTTCCCACTTCTCCCCACCATCATGCCAGCGGTGTTCATTCTACGAAACAAGTTTGAGAAGGAAGGAGTGCCCATCCCATCCCACGCCCATTGCTTACTGTCTCCCTCATACCTCCCTCTCTCTGCTCTCCCCCGCTCCCTACCCTGACACCAGCGGTGGTACATTCTGCGCAAGAAGTTTGAGAAGGAAGGAGTGCCAATCCCAGGCCGCAAGGCAAGGGAGGCCCGGGAAGCAGCAGCAAGAGAGGCAGCAGCGAAAGAAGCCGCTGCAAAAGAAGCAGCGGCTAAAGAGGCGGCTGCTAAGAAGGCTGCTGCTAGAGAGGCCGCTGCAAAAGAAGCAGTGGTGAAGGCTGAAGCTGCTGCGAGGGAAGCAGCAGCAAGGGAGGCAGCGAGAGAAGCGGCAAGGGAGGCAGCTAGGGAGGCAGCCGCTAGGGAAGCAGCACGAGAAGCAGCAGCTAGAGCGGAGGCTGAGGGTGCTGGTAAGGCAGGAGAGGGTGGTGTGGGAGGGGAGACTGGGGATGGGAGTGGGGCCGGGATGCAGCAGCAGCAGCAGCAGCAGCAACAGCAGCCAACGCAGCAGAGAGGAGCAGCGAGTAGCAGTGGTGGTTTGGGGGAAGGTGGGGGTGTGGGGGAGAGGAAGGAGCACGACATGGGATCCCTGCACATGCAGGGGCAGGGGCAAGGGCAGGGGCAGGGACTGGGACAGAAGCAGGGGCAGGGGCAGGGGCAGGGGCAGGGGCAGGGGCAGGGGCAGGGGCTGGGACAGGGGCAAGGTGAAATAGACGTTTATTCCAGTCCCATGAGGCACACACGTGCGTACTCTGGTGGGTACCCTCAGTCCTCCCTCTCTCACCCTTCCCCGCACACTCACACTCACGCTCACTCCCTCACACCCCACACCCACACCATGCACCCCTCCTCCATCCCCCCCAAGTACCCCCCTTCCACGTCAGCATCCAACCAGTGGGCTCACAGAACCGGATCTGCTGCAGTGCCAGGTGGCAGTTCGGGATTGGCCCGTGGGGTGGCTAGTGGGGCGGCAGGCAGGGGTGCGAGTGGGAGGGGGACAACTGGCAGGCTGACGTCAGCACAGGCATGGGCGCAGCATCAGCAGCAGCAGCACCAGCAGCACCTGCAGCAGCAGCAACAGTTGCTGCAGCAGCAACAGCAGCAGCAGAGGCGCATGGCAACTGCTATGGGCCGAGGCAGGGGCTTTCCAGGAAACTCCCCATATGCTTCCGCAGCTGCCGCGTCAGCTGCCGCCGCCGCCGCTGCTAATGCTGCCAAATCGGCAACAGCTGGCGGTTATTCACCCGGTGGGCTGCCGGGCGGCAGAGGTACTGTAGCAGGGGCGGGCGGGCGGGCGGGAGCGGGCGGCGGCATGATGGGCAGGATGGGTGTGGGGAGAGGAAGAGGGGTGGGTAATGTCGGTGCTGCAGCAGCAGCAGCAGCAGCAGCAGCAGCAGCAGGGAGGGGATTGCCATCAGGCTCAGCAGCAGCAGCAGGAGCAGGAGGTATGGGAGGAGTGGGAGGAGGGATAGGAGGGATAGGAGGGATAGGAGGGGGTCCTCGGCCAGGCATTGGCACAGTAGGGCGTGCATCTATGCACCCCCACTCCTCCCACCCCTCCCACGCCTCCCTCTCCTCCTCCCACTCCCCTCACACCTCACTCTCTCACTCGCACACACCTCTCGCCCCGGACCCTCTGGTGCAGGCGGCAGCAGTGGCAGCAGGGGCGCGGATAGCACCTCCCTCAGCTGCAGCCTCCCTCATGCAGGCCGCTGCGGGGAAGGCAGGTGCGCCTGTGGTGGTGCACCACATCACCCGCTCGCCCCATACCTACAGCTCAGGCTCGGCAGCAGGGTTTGTGCCTGGCGGTGGAGGTTCGGGAAGGCCTGGAGTGGGAGCGGTGGGAGGGGCAGGTCGGGGTGGGGGAGGGCAGAGTGGGAGAGGGAGAGGGGTTGCCGTGTCTTCTGCTGCTACAGCCGGTGCTGCTGTAGCTGGTTCAGGGGGAGGGAGGGGAGGGGTAGGGGGAGTGGGGAGAGGGGCAGGTGCGTCTGTGCCAGGTGGCCAAACCCCATTGGCTGGGAGTAAACCAGTGGGGCAAAGTGCCTCTTCGGGAATGCCCCCAGCAGGCGCACAGGGGAGCGCAGGGGGAGGTGCAGGCGCACAGGTGGGCGCACAGAGCAGCACCATGCAAGGTGCGTCCCAAGGCTGTGCAGCCCCAGCAGCAGCAGCACCACCACCCAACTCAGAAGTGTTGACACATTCAAAGGTGCCAGATGCAGGAGTGGTGCCAAGCTCAGTCGATGCAGTGGCAACTGCTGCTGCTGCTGGTACTGGTGGTGTTGCTTCTGCTGCTGCAACCAATGCACCAGCTCCCGGTGTGAGACAAGGTACGCCGGCCAGTTCGGTATCACCACTGCCTGTGGCGCCAGCTAAGTCGCACGCGCCTGCTGCAACTGCTACTGCCTCTCTTGCTACCACCGCTGCTGCCACACCTGCTCCAGCCTCCTCCTCCTCTGCGCCTGCGGCAACACCGCCAGCACCACCAGCAGTGCCTGTTTCAGCAGCGCCAGCAGCAGCGCCAGCAGCAGCAGCAGCCCCAGCAGCTGCTGCTGCTGCACCTGCACCTCCCGCTGTTGACTCGACCAAACCGCCTTGACATGCTGCATCCTCTACACGACCCAGCGCACCAACCATTCTGGAACACAGAACCTGAGTTCACAAATACGTACGGTACGTGGCATGGAGGTTATAGTGGGGCGCAATTAAGTGGCCACCACCAGTCTAACCATAGCTCCAGCACTCCACGAAGAGCCTCTAGCTCTTTTGGAAACAGTATTTGCTCACAACACAGTGATTTAAGTTGTCCAGGGCTGCTTTGCTCCCACGTCTGTCAAGGGGATTCTCCCCCTTGGACCCCAACCACTAAAAGGATGTGTATGCCCATTGTCGCGCTATTAACACATAGCCTGCGGCTAAGTGTGAATTGCACAGCAGCTTAAGGTGAGGTTGTACTATATTGCTGTTTGTTTCTTGTACTCATACTTTCGTTTGTGTGCTTGGAATGTACTGTACATATATGGAGCCGAGCAGGGGGGAGAAGCTCAAGGAATTTGGTGGGGACAGGGTTGAATTCGATTCCAGGCTGGGAATTCGATTCCAGGCTGGGAATTCGATTCCAGGCTGGGAATTCGATTCCAGGCTGGGAATTCGAGTCAGAGAATGCAATTCCAGCTGGAAGTCGGTGCATGCCTAGTGGGCCACTGGGACCCAGCTAGCACCTAGAAGCTATCGCGTGCAGCACTGCTGCTATGCGACTTGGCAACTAGAGTTAGCTTGTGGGACAAGCAACCTAGGCAGAAGGATGGTTGGGACTTAGGCAGGGGAGGATACCTGCTCTGTGCTTTTTGCTTGTTTGTTTCTCGTAATACTGCAATTCGTTTTCCCAACCACGGAGGCAAGCAGTTAAAGAGAAGCTCAGGCAAACTGACGGAGCCCTTGCGAGGGAGAGTATTCAGTCTTGTTGCAAACAAGCAAAAAGGGTAGCGGTAGAGAAGTGTACGGGCGCAGAGGCCCGGTGTTAACCACGGCAACAGGGCCGTGAGGCATGAGCGATACGGATCCGGATCTACATATCCATCAGTTGCGGTCGGGACAGAGGTATCCCGCTAGGACTATGGAAGGTCGAGAAGAGCCGCCTGTCAAGCCTGGATTTCGTGCAGATGGAGGAGTTAACGAAACATAGGGAGAAAAGGGGCCTGATCTGCCGAAGGAGGGTGAGAATCGTCAGGAGAACTTGCCCAGCTCGGTGCACAACTCGCCAGGACGACAGAGCGAGGCGAGATCTGGGCAGCAGGGATCGCAGCAAGGAACGCCTGAGCGCGGTGAGGCGCACAAACGGGAAGCAGAGCAGAACTTCAGAGAGGAGAATTTCCGTGGTCTATCCGGAGGGCGCAGTACCACCAGGGGGCCCGAGCAAGGGGGTTGGCCTGCAGGAAGCAGAGAGAGGGAAGCCGCAAGCGGGGGGACAGGGAGGTCTATGAACACGGCGCCCCCAAAGATCGAAATACCAGACCGCTTCTCAGGGGCACCAGGTGAAGAGCCAACACTGAAGAACTACCTTATGATGATTGATGATATACGGTACACCTGGGAGAGAGAGGGGTTAGATCCAATAGAAATTTTCAGAGGATTGGGAAGGACTCTGAAAGGGGAGGCACTGACACACTACAGAGTGGAGCGTCAGGGGCTGTTGATGCAGTGCAAGAATGGGGACTTTGCGCAGGGAGAGATCACTGACCGGTTTTTGGACACGCTGCGTGAGCAGTTCCCCGGGCACTCAGCTGAGCGTATGATAGAGTTCCAAGACTTTAAAAGAGGGCGGGCCGAGTCGCTGCTAGCATACTACAACCGGCTGCTGGAGCTGGCTGAGGATATGGGCTGCGTTGAGGAGCGTACCTTGGTGACGAAATTCCTGGGGGGGTTGGAGGAGGAGCTGATGAATGAAATGAAAACACGTCTGTACGCTTTGGGGATGAAGGCGAGACTCAGGCAGGTGTATCAAGTGGCGAAAGAAGTGGAGGAAGGGCGGAGGTTCTTTGAAGGCTTGAGAGGAGCAGGCTCCAGCCGCTCAGGTTTGTTAAGACAGAACCCAAGAGGGCCTGGAGAGCAGGGGCGGTCAGGGGAGAGAGGAAGAAGTGGAATGGAGAAAGCGCACTGGCAGGGATGGGGGCAAAGCTGAGTGAGTACGGTGTGACGCTAGTGGAGCTGTTCGGAGGCATAGGGGCGGGGCTTGCAGCAGCCCTAGAGGCCGGCCTGGAGGTTCAGAAGTGGCATTACATAGAGTTAGATCCGGAGGTGCGTAAGATGGCGTGGAGTCATGCCAGGGCCTTGCAGGAGCGGTATCCAGCGCAGCTGCGAAAGGAAGTCATAGTAGAGGCAATGAAGAGAGAGCATTGGGATGTAAAGGAGATCAGCAGGCAGGAAGTGAGGAGCTGGGGAAAGGTGGACTTACTGGTGGCCGGATGGGAGTGCCAGGGCACTTCTCGGGCAGGCAAGGGAAGAGGGCTGCAGGATGAGCGCACGGGATTAATCAAGAAGCTCCTGGAGGTCATGGCCTGGATGAGGGAAGAAGGAGAAAAATACGCGTACATCTTGGAGCACGTGGATATGAAGGGAGATCCTCGAGAACCGGTGCGAGCTGTGAGGGAGATGGTAGAGGCACAGCTAGGGAAGGGAGTGAGTTGGGATGCAGCCCTGCACGGAGCACGATGCCACCGGTCACGGTGCTACTGGCAGAACGTGCTACCAGAGGAAGAGCTGCGTGCCAGACTGTCTAGGGTGGAGAGGGATGACCGGAGGATAGTGGAGGATATCCTGGAACCGGGTCGCGTGGCAGCTCCAGTGTGGAAGCCGGACCATCCCCTGCAGCACCAGTGTAACAGGATAGGGGAGGCACGATGAGCCTTGCCGACGCTGGTCGCCTACCCAGGAGCCAGGGGGTTTGTTGAAGTGGACGGCCAGCCAGGCCCAGGGATGATATACGACCACAAAAGGAAAAGGTGGGAGGAGCCGACAGCTCTGGAGAGAGAATTGGCCAAGGGTTATCATGCGGGAGCGACGGCAGCACCGGGTATAAGTGAGGAGGCAAGGAGGGCGGCAGTGGGGAGAGCAATTGATCAACACTCACTGAGATGGCTGATTGGAGAGATGAGAAAGGGGGCAAAGGGACCTGGAGGTAAGAGGGCACGGGGGGAAAGGGGGTGGCGGAAGCAGCCAGCGTACTCAGCGGTGGAGCTGAAAAAGGAAGTAGGGGCGGAGCCGAGACAAGAGAAGCTGAATGTCACCAAGGGCCCAGAGAAGGAATGGGAGATAGGGGCAGATGTGGAGGCAGGGGCGGTAGAGGCGATCAAGCAGCTGCTGAAGGCGCACAGGGGCACATTTGCATACAACCTGCAGGAGCTGGGGCAGTACAAGGGCGGGGAATTAGAGATAAAGCTCACGACAGAGATACCGACTTACCAGCGCAGGAGGCGCATGAATGCTGAAGATGCAGCCATCTGCAAAGAGAAGTGTG